GCGTTCCTCAATGGGGACCTCGAGGAGGAAGTGTATATGATACAACCCGAGGGATTTGTGTCCAAGGACTACCCAGATAATGTGTGTAGGTTGCTTAGATCCGTTTATGAACTAAAGCAAGCTTCCCAAAGTTGGAATATAAGATTTGATGAGGAAATCAGATCTTATGACTTTGTTAAGAATGAAGATTAGCCTTTATGTACAGGAAGGTAAGTGGGAGCGCGCTATCATCTTTTTGGTGTTATATGTGGATGACTTCCTGATAATTGGGAATGATGTAGGAATGATATCCACAGTAAAGACTTGGTTATCTAGACACTTAGGGGGAGATAGATCCAAGAAGATGATTAGCTTCTCCCAATCATGGTACATAGACACCATTGTCAAAAGGTTTGGCATGGAAAATTCCAAGAGAGGTCTCATATTGATGAGACATGGGATATCACTTTCTAGGAGTATGTCCCCAAAGACTCCTAAAGAAAGAGTGAACATGAATAGGATACCCTATGCCTTAATGATGGGGTCTATCATATATGTCATACTATATACCAGGCCTGATATAGTGCATGCTCTGAGTATCACGAGCAGGTATTAGGCGGATCTAGGCTTAGAGCACTAGAAAGCAATGAAGTATATCCTTAAGTACTTAAGAAGGACTAAGTATATTTTACTAATATATGGAGGTAGTAGCCTCAAGCTACACAGACTCGAGTTTTCAGTCCGATGTCAATTATAGCAAGTCGAATTCGGGGTACGTGTACACCTTGAATGGAGGATCAGTGTGTTAGAAGAGTTCCAAGCAAGATACTACTATTGACTTGACCACAAAGGCAGAGTACATTGCTGCAGTAGAGGCAGCAAATGAGAGAATCTGGATGAAGAAGTTCATCACAGATCTGGGAATCGTGCTAAGTAGCGAGGAGTCGATTCCCTTATATTACAACAACTATGAGGCGATTACTCAAATAAGGGAACCCGAGTCTCATCAGAAGTGTTCTGAGGAGGTTTCAGCTTATTAGAGAGATCATAACCCGAAGAGATATAGCAATGGAAAAAGTTCCATCCGAAGATAACATTACAGATCCACTAACAAAGCCATTATCTCATATTGTCTTTAAGCGTCACAAGGGTCTAATGGGGATCAGACACATATGTGATTAACTTTAGGTCAAGTGAGAGATTGCTAGTCATATGTGTCATGCAAGTCAATCACATAAGTGATAGCACATGTGACTTGACACGTAGTATTTTTTCTTATTATATTTTAGCATTTATCACTTTATATTGCTTGTTATATATATATAGTGATATCCTTGGATTTGTGTAATGGGAATCGGATCATAATAATGAGATCGATTCACCTTTAAACACAAATCCTAAATAATTCCGATTATAGGTTACTCGAGAGGGACATCGAGATGATCGAATAGATTGGTGTGCTATATACCCGTCCATATGATGGATGTAGCTGGTCTTATAGTTGCTCCTATGGGGACACTAGGGATACGGTACATGTGCTCATTGAAGAATGAGTTCACTAATTGATCCGCTTATGGAATGTTGGATGGTTGTGATTCCTTATTGTCATACAGTGATTTTGTGATCTTAGTAGTGTATCTAGTCCTTAGACTTGAGACACCAAGGATGTCCTATATGAGTGCTCTACTCTTTGGTACCAAACTTATAGGTTTGGATGTCCTAGATATAGCATAGCCGACCTTCGGGAGTGGTAGTCAACCTTATGAGGGTTATTGAGTGTCGATAGAGGATCATCCACTCTCAGTGTCATGAGAGGAATGTCTCATGTATTCTTACTCAAACAAATCCCTAGCTAGGGTTATTCGGATTGAGAGAAAAAGAGTTCTCCGGGAGAATCCGATTAGAGCGAGACTCGAATAGAAACCGTATGTGTCTGATAGCACCATACGTGGTATACAATCTCTGGGATATTAGATGGACGAGGGACTATAGGTACACGATAACTAAGGACAGACATGTCAAATATATTGGATTCCCCTGTCTCGTCTGGGGACTACGGTGTAGTGGCCTAGTACATTTGTAGTCGATGAGTCGAGATAATAATTCACTGGGCCAGAAAGAGTTCTGATAGGTATAAATCACAGTTAGCTCGATATTGGGCCTAGAGGGTCACACACATATGGTAGGCATTGCGATGAGTAGAGGTTCGGATATAAGATATTCATTAGAGCCCCTATTTTATTGGATATTCAATAAGCCCATGAATTATTGTATCCTATGGATGAGATCCAATAAGAGCCCATGAGAGATTATTGGATAGAGATCCACTAATTTAAGAGGTTTGGGTAGTTGGATGGAGATTCAATACCCAATAGGGGAGGATCCATTAAGGTTAAGTTGATAGGGGACCTCTATAAATATGAGGGATTCAGTGGTTCATAGGCTGAAGCCTTTGCTTGCCTCTCTTATTCTCCTCCCCCTCTCTACTTCAAAGTAGGCTTGGAGTTTTAAGGAGCATCGTCACAACCTTGCTGTGTGGATCACCGCTAGAGAGGAGAGCACTTGACCTTCTTCACCCTCTCATAGAGATCTGCATGACCTAGGGATCTACGATCTCTCTAGGTAACACAATCTATTTTATACGTAGTTTTAAGTTTTGTGAATTTTTACGCGCCAATCTTCGCATGACGACGAACATATCTTTGGGAATTGGGGATTTTATTTTTTGTTCTTCCATTGCGCATGTGATGTCGCCCCCAAGAATTTCCAACACCTAATCACTATCGCACCGGATCATGGATCCCAACCAATGATCCAAGACCTTCACTAGTAGCCCTACGATGAGATCAGTGCTCGAGCCGTAGTGTTGACCAATATTATATCATTGCCAGGAACCTTAAAGGGCATCACGTTGTAGAGAAACTTGAAGATAAAGATATCGATGGTCCACTATCATGCCCCTCCCTTAAGACAATCTTTGGTGCACATTACTCGTGCCACGAAGGACATAGATAAGAGGTCCATGGGCTCAACCATGAACTCACAGCATAGTCTCTATCATTGTGACTTCTTCTTGAGCTTATGTCGAGGCGGATGGAACCAGAAGACCCCAAGGATGATGTAGCTTGGGCTGACATAGGCAACAACAAAGAACTCACCTGCGATAACGGTGGATGACTATGGCAGTAGTGGGAGTAGTTTTAGGCAAAAAGAAAATATAATTGAGATATTAAAATTATCTTTTTTCTATCGATTTCGTATCAATCCTATATATGATGTTAGAATAAATAGGATCAATTATCTCACTTTAATTTCAATATAAATTTTTAAATTTAAAAATTAAAATGTAGATCTAAGTATAGGGACGTAATTAGCCCTCAAAAATTATAGTACATTTTCACATGCCATTTTGGAATCTTACACACCATTCCATAAACATCAACATCAGCTACATTGTAGGTCATACCATACGTCACATGAATAAACTATACATATCTTTGACAATAGACCATGTTACATTACTTGGGGTCCAAGGTGGCAATTAGCGAAGAGGCTTAGACGTTCGTTATCAAGATTCATTCTAATTTGAAGTGTTGTAGCTTCAAATAGCTCGATATAAATTGATGTTATATTTACCAAAATCAGACCTTATCTGTTGACATTTTTATTTAAAAATATTTTTTTAATGGCTCAGAACATCTCACGCATATTTAGTAAGCTTAATTGAGTCAAATATTATATATCTTCATAGGCAGACAAAAATTAGAATTTGATTAAAGGTTAACTAAGATTATTTATCTCTATTCACCCCGATACATGAGGAATTGACGATGATACCATGTGGTCTGATCTATATGTGTATTGAACAATGATAGTATTTCTAATTTAATGAAACTTTCGAGTTGATGGTGAAGATACTAACATCAATTAAATTTTGACACGTGGTCACATAAACAGAGACACCTAAAAGAAGACGTAAGCTCTCCGAGATCAGCTCTTCCCCGTCATCTTCCTCATATTCTTGCTCCTACGTCGGCACCTTCATGTTTGTACCTCCACTTGGACACTACTCCTACGTCAAGTCAATGTCCGGAGAGATTGTATCATCTCCAAATGGCATGGGTCGAGACTGATCATGGCACCTTGACAAAGTTGTGCCTATGTCTCCCTGATAATGTAATCTTGAATGTAATGACCAAACCTCATCAGCTTTTCATGTGAGATCAGAAGAGGATAGTTGCGTTTTTCTTATCGCAGGATTTCTTCAAATCGAAGCGGTGCAAGTCATGAACAGGTGTGCACACCCTCTAACATCACATACCATAATTCTCAAGATATCGCCAAATGCATATCCTTCCTATGAGAAGGACCACTAAAGGGCATCAGAAAAACATCAAAACGAAGAGGTTAAAGAAGACAAGTCACCCTACACTCCACCAACTAAGAATGCCTCTCTCTCTCTCTCTCTCTCTCTCTCTCTCTCTTAATCTCCACCATCAAGCTTATGAATCTCATGATGAAACATGTTCACTTGAGCATCCGAGAAGATTCTTTGGAAACCTTGATACCCTTTCTTATTTGTAGGTTTCCACTCAAAAAATCTCCTTTTAGAGTCGAACTTAATCTCTAATAAACCTTGGATATAAAAAGAATCATAAATATATAACTGATACTATGATCATGGTGAGAGAGAATTTGATCGACTCTATCCATCCTCGGATCTTTAGATCAAATCATTTTGTCATATGATCTGATCAGAGCCAAATAGAAATTTATTAGATTGGAGAAGTTGCTAAAACAGTTCGAAACATTTATTTTTCCTCCAAGTTTGAAGCCAATTAATCAAAGAATTCTTTTTGCTTCTTCGATTGGACGAAGAGATTCCACTCTTTTAGACTGACATAAAAAGAGCCGACGCATGCAGGGAAATTTGGTACTTGTTCAGTGACATGAATGAGATATTATGGACTGTGAGGATCCAACACATGGCCCAATCGGTCGACATCGATAGGTATTTTTGACTTGTTCACTGCGGTAGCGTCCAACGTGAGGACTGGAGATCCCTGTCTTCCACTACCGGCCATACGAATGGAAGCAGCTGCCCGGCTCAAGTGGGACCTACATGCGGCGTCACCGCTTCGTCCGTTCAACAAGGGAGGTTGAATTTATCGGGTACGTCGAAATCGACTAGGCGGATCGATCACACTCCCTTCCCTTTCCAAGCGGCTCCGGTCGTCCTCCATCTACTTTAAAGAGGACGCCTCCTGCGGAGAGAGGGGAGGAAGAAGCACAAGAGAATGGAGAAGCCAGGCCTGGATTCGCCTCTGATCCCAGGCCACACCGAAGTCCTTGTCTCTGGTGCTGATGTGGTGAACGAAGCAGGCCTGAAGAGTGACGGAGAGTTCTTCGCCGAGATCAAGAGGCAACTCTGCTTGGCGGGGCCGCTAATAGCATCGAGCTTGTTGCAGAACATTCTTCAGGTCATATCAGTCATGTTCGTTGGCCATCTTGGGGAGCTTGCCCTCTCTGGTGCTTCCATGGCGACCTCCTTCGCTGGGGTCACTGGCTTCAGCTTCTTGGTATGTATGCGTATCTGCTTGCTCTGCTCTGCCATTTTCTTTCTAACAATTAGGAACCTGAGATCTCATCAGACCTATATATCCTTTCATCTCCATGTGAGGCGGAATTTAACGAACCATGTTAAATCTTATGTTGATTTTTTAGTATTTTTTTTCTGAATGTTGATCTTTGATAATTTCTCTTTTTGGTTTTTTATTTCCTCCCTCCCCAACATTGGGTTCGTAGTTAGTAATTTGCTTTGTGTTAACTGGACCAAGAAGTCTCTAGCACCGTCGAATGATTCCTGATATCATCCATTCATGTCCTGGATTCTACTGATCCACCTTATCCTCAACATCTCCTTTCTTGATTGGCTAGTTGGGGATGAGTACTGCATTGGATACAATGTGTGGACAAGCCTTCGGAGCAAAACAGTACCACATGCTTGGCATACACATGCAGAGAGCCATGCTTGCCCTAACACTAGTAAGTCTTCCTGTTGCTGTGATCTGGTCCTACACAGGTTCGATTCTCAAACTATGCGGGCAAGATCCGGAGATTGCAACCGAAGCTGGATTGTATGCTCGGTGGATGATTCCCACCATTTTCGCATATGGACTCCTACAGTGCCATGTTAGGTTCCTGCAGACCCAGAACATTGTCTTCCCTATGATGCTGAGCACCGGCGTCACAGCTCTGTCGCACGTTCTTGTGTGTTGGCTTCTGGTGTTCAAGTCTGGCCTCGGAAGCAAAGGTGCAGCTGTGGCAATCTCCATCTCTTACTGGACAAATGTGCTGCTGTTGGCACTATATGTCAGGCTATCTCCTGCCTGCAAGAAGACTTGGATTGGCTTCTCGAGAGAGGCTTTACATGACATGTCCACCTTCATCAAACTGGCTGTTCCATCAGCTACTATGGTCTGGTAAGCAACATATTGTTCGACAGTCTTTCTCGATGGATACATATGTACATATAACACAACCTGCAACAGCTTTGAATTCTGGTCATTCGAGTTGCTCGTGCTTCTCTCGGGCATTCTTCCAAATCCAAAGCTAGAAACATCAGTTTTGTCGATAAGGCGAGTTTGACTTGTGCGACTTTGCTGCTGCTGTACTTGATACGGCTTTGTATGCTTACAACTTCCACTTGTTTCTCTCAGCCTCAATACTGCTTCCATGGTGTTCATGGTCCCTTTTGGCCTTGGTGCTGCAGTAAGGTGAGATGAGCCAAGAGGAGTTAATCTCTCTTCTCGTATTCCACATCGTTAGTTTCCTTAATTTGCTGCTCTTTTTGTTGCCTCCTAGTACACGCGTTTCAAATGAACTTGGTGCTGGCCATCCACAAGCTGCAAGCTTAGCAGTAAAGGTGGTGGTATTCCTGGCCATCACAGAAGGATTGATAGTGGGCTTAACCATGATTCTGGCGCGAGGCATTTGGGGTTATGCATACAGCAACGTGGAAGAAGTCGTAAGATATGTGGCCATTATGATGCCAATCCTCGCAACCTCAAACTTGCTGGATGGAATGCAATGTGTACTCTCAGGTACGGTGTCTCCATCCATTCCTGTTCATGTAGGAATTGGATATGCCCCTACAGAACTCCATACCTTGGGATTCCTTGGAACATGTAGGTGTTGCCAGAGGATGCGGGTGGCAAAAGATTGGTGCTTTAGTTAATCTTGGAGCTTATTACATTGTCGGCATTCCTTCGGCTCTCCTTCTAGCGTTTGTCCTCCATGTTGGAGGAAAGGTGAGAGAGAGACTCTTTTTCATCATTATCTTTCTCTGACTCTGTAAATTGCGTTAAGAGTATGTTGTTGGTGTTACTATTATAGTCTATGAAATGTCTTTGGTAAACAACAGGGACTTTGGATGGGAATAATATGTGGCCTCTTTGTACAAGTGCTGCTCTTTTCGGCCATTGCCTATTGCACTAACTGGGAGAAAGAAGTAAGTGCACCACTGATCTTGTTCCTCAAAGATACTGCCTACTTCAACTCCACTGGATCTTTGTTCTGTGAACAGAGCTGCAGGGGATGAGAGTATACATGTTGTTTTTCTCCAACGATGTTGGATGCCGTTGTGGCGGGGATTAAAGCTTTGCTAATGCTAACTGTGAACCACCTTCCTTCTCGCTTGTACTTTTGTTTCTGCATTCATTCATGGCGTTTCTTATTCTTTCAGGCTAGGAAGGCGAAGGACAGAGTGATCAACTCCACCGTTCCCAAAGACACTGCAACATGATGGCATGATCATGTGAAGCTCCTGTAAGCTTCTGGCCGTCAGAACTGCAATGAGAAGCAGAGAGGAGAATGCAATTGTTACAGTATGGCACCAGAAAAATTGTTGAAAATAACATGAAACTATTGTTTGGTGCATCTCTATTTTCATGAATATTTTCGACTTCTCTTTGTTGTGAAGTCCATTTTTCATTTTGTCTTTTACTTTCCGCCTTTAAAGTACTAAGTTGATCGACTATTAATTATTGGACTTTGAGCTTGTGAAATTTGAGAAATTATGAAATAAAGGATAGGTTTTGGACATTCCAATTAAATCCCTGATGGGTAAGACGAAGAGGATTACAAACAAGGATTGAAAGAAAAGCGTCTTTTTCCATTTCCACGTGTTTTATTTTTTCCTTTCTTCTCTTGAGTCAACTGTCATTGGTCATCGGGCAAAGAAATCAATTTAATAGCTATAATAATAAAAATTATTTACTACTATCATTATTTAGATCTGTGCCTCTTTGCACTTGTGATTAAGCTGGATCATTTATTTCATTGTGTTAGGTGTTTTCTAATTCGTTTTATTGGTACATAGCTGAGTTCTGATGCGATATAAAGTGAAACTAAATTTTTGTATATGAACAAATACTAACAGGTCATGTAGTGAAATTAAATGAAAATCATAATCAAATATGATATCAAGATTTACATGAAAAATTCCTCCAACGTGAAGGGTAAAAATAACGAGACAAACTAGAGATAATTCATTATGATAATAATAAATATACAAATCTCAATCTTTTGTCCAAAATCTTAACAACATTCATAAGAGAATAATTGGGATACGATGATTTCGTCACTGTGCATAATATCTAAATTCTCCCTCAAGTAATTACAGCAAAAATCTATTATAGATTTGATCTAACTTAAGATGAGAATATCACAAGAGAATAACTAGGATACAAGGATCACGTTACTGTGCACAATATCTAAATTCTCCCCCAAGTAATCACGGTAAGAATCTACTATAGATTTGATCTAACCTGAGATGAGAACACTACCTAGATGATTGAGAACAGCCTCTCTGCGTTGTCCTTGTTTTCTTCCCTTTCTTTCTCTTATTTTTTTGTCATGTTCTCCTCCTTATCTTTGGAATCACGTGGCTGTAGTAATTTCCTCGTTATTGTAGTTTTTCTTGCTCTTTTTGCAGCCCCCCATGCCCCTCTAATATGAATCTAGGGTTTAGAGAAAGGGGGGTGAGCTATTAAAGCCCATTATGGGCTGAATCCACTATGGGCTGTCAGCTCAACAACCTCCCCCTTCAGCCCATAAGGGAGGTTATCTCATGACTTCTCAATGTGAAGCCATGCCGATCAGCTGTCGGCATATCTCCTGTCTTTCTTTTGGTAAAGTTTTTGTCAATATGTTTGCTCCGTTATCATCTGTGTGAATTTTCTGAAGCTGCAATTGCTTTTCTTCAAATACATTTCGAATCCAGTGGTATCTGACATCTATATGCTTTGACTTGGAATAAAATATTGAGTTCTTACACAAATTGATAGCACTCTAGCTATCACAATGCACCACATAATTTTTCTATTTCAGCCCCAATTCTTGTAAGAATTCTTTCACCCATAATATTTCTTTGCAAACCTATGTAACAGCAATATATTCTGCCTCTGTGGTGGAGAGAGCAATACACCTTTGCAATCTAGATTGCCATGACACAGCTCCCCTTGTAAAAGTAAGTATATAACATGATGTTGACTTCCTCGTATCTATATCTCTTACCATATCTGCATTTGTATTAACCCGTCAACACGGGTGGTCCACCTCCAAAGCTTAAACAAACCTTAGAGCTCCCTCTGAGATATTTAAAAATCCACTTCACTACTGCCCAATGCTTTTTGCCTGAATTTGCAAGAAATCTACTAGTAACACCTAATTGCATATGTGATGTCCAGTCTCATACATACCATTGCATGTATTAAACTTCCAACTACTGAAGCATAAGGAACCTTTTGTATCTTCTCCTTATCCTCGTCACTTGACGGACTCTATTCTGAGTATAACTTGAAGTGACCTGCAAGAGGAGAACCAACTGGCTTTGCATTGCTCATACTGAACATTTCCAATACCTTCTCGATATAATTCTTTTGTGACAACCAAATCGTCTTGGTTTTTCTGTCACGGGAAATCTGCATGCACAGTATTTGCTTTGCTGGCCCCATGTCCTTCATTGCAAAGAACTCACTTAGTTCCTTCTTCAACCTGTCAATTGTAGACATATCTTTCCTAAGAATAAGCATGTCATCAACATAAAGTAAGAAAATAATAAAATTCTTACTAAACCATTTGATATACATACTAATCTGAAGTCGTTCTTTTGTATCATTTTCAATAATAAATAAATCAAATTTTTTGTACCACTATCTTGGAGCTTGCTTTAGCCCATACAAGCTCTTCTTCAATTTGTAGACAAAGTGCTCTTTATCTTTGACTTTGAAGCCTTTTAGTTGCTTTATATAATTCAATTGTTTCTATTTAAACTAATCATGCGAGAAACACTATTGACCTTCATGTTCAAACACAAAATTAAATCACCACAACCTTGCTCTGATACTAGTTGATGGGATATAAAGTAAAACTAAACTTTTCTATATGAACAAATACTAGCAGGCCATAGCGGAATTAAATGGAAATCACAATCAAATATGACATCAAGATTTACGTGGAAAACCCCTCCAATGTGAAAGGTAAAAACCACGGAGCAAACTAGAGATAATCAACTATGAGAATAATGAATATACAAATCTCAATCTCTTGCCCAAAACCTAGCAATAATCACAAGAGAATAACTGAGATATAAGGACCACGTTATTGTGCATAATATCTAAATTCTCCCCCAAGTAATCATAGAAAAATCTACTATAGATTTGATCTAACTTGAGATGAGAACACCGCCTAGATGGTTGAGAACAGCCTCTCTATGTTATCCTTATTTTCTTCCATTTCTTTCTCTTGTTTTTCTGTCTTGTTCTCCTCCTTGTCTTTTCGTAGCCCCCCACGCCCCCTTAATATGAATCTAGGGTTTAGAGAAAGGGAGGTGGGCTGTGGGCTCTTAAAGCCCACTATGGGCTCTCAACCCAACAAGTACAACATATTTAGTGGCTCCTAAAGAACATGCAACTAGGAGGAGGGAGCTATAAAGACAATGAGTTGCCACTTAAGGCCCTTTCGGATGAATTGCTGACATTTATCTATCACTTGTTTGCATATCAGACAATTGTCCACTGCTAACATTTAGTATGGATTGGGAACATGATACATGTAAACTAACCCTGATAATAGATTATTTTTGGCTGATAGATGACTCAACCCAACACAACCGATGAAAGATTATCAATAACATTGCATCTAACATCTTAAGTGTGTGTAAATGATATATGACCTTAACTTACATGCTTATTAATATGTTCCTATATCATAATCTCTCGGATACATAAAAAAGCTTGATAACAAAGGAAAGAATCCCCTATTAGATTATGTGGTCCTATTTAATTAGGTAAGATATATTATAGATATGATTGAATTCTGATTATGGTTATTGGCCAATAGAAAAGAAATTCAGTTAAAGTAGGATTCCTTAGGAGATAATCTTGATTTAACTTATCCTATGTCCTTTGCTCTCGCTTATAAATAGATAAAACCTCTATAGGCTAAAGGTAGCATCTTGAGAGATTAAAAGTTTTTCTCTCAATCTCCCTAATCGCTAAATAAGAGATATCTCAATGCAGTTGAGAGATTAAGATTTTTCTCTCAATCTCCCTACCCCTAATCTTTTAATCCAATCTAGGTGATCCTGTAAAAAGATAAGAAGAGAAGAGAAGGATCTAGTTCTCTTTGCAGATTAATATTTCAAATTCGAAGCGCTTATAGATTTATTCTTTTGAACAACACTAATATATTATTTGATTTAATTTTATTTGATTTCAATCTTGACATAAATTTTTTTTCATATTATAGATAACATACGATCCACCGGACGGTTGGGTGTGTGGGGTCATCGTTAAGCCTCGTAGGATTTACGGAGGGTTGAGAACGGGATGCATGTGACCATCATATCATCATGTGGATCATGGCAATTGTCTTGCTCGAGCATGATGTAAAGTACATAGATTGTGATGGCGGTCATGTGATCCGTGACCGCGTGTGTGGAATGCGGGTGGACCCCAGTCCTCTGCCATTTGTTATTTTATTTCTTTAATTTCTGTATTTTTATTATACTCCTGCAGAGAACCCCATGTGACTGCCGCTTGGTATTTTTGGTTTTTCCCGACAATATACCATCTCCACCGAAGATACAGGTCGTGATTTGCCCCCACTGGAACGTTCCAGTTAACTCTGGAATAAAGGTAACTCTGGCGTAAGAGTGGCTTCCATAGTACCAGTCCAAATCCATTTACGACGTATTTGAGCACATTACTTGCGACGTGAATGTGCATCTATCACCAACCAAGATTCATATTTGAATCGGGATCTTCAATGTCCCTTAGTTCCATGTTGTTTACAGTTGAGAAGAGACAAGAAGGAACGAGTTACATGTAGTAGTACCATAACAAGGCATTAAGCCTGATGGAAGCTGTACACGAGACCAATCAACGTTGGTACCAAACCATGTTGGATCGTTCCTTAATCAATGAATCTCACATTAATTAATCCGCACAAAACACATCGACACGATGCCGTCAAAGGAATTAGTAACATCTTGTTTGCTCGGAGCTATAACAGCCGTCTGATTTCGTGCCGACGGTGGTGGCAAGGGATATATATATTTTTTAAAATAAAATTTTATTTGACAAAGTTTCAAATCCTCTTATTTGCAAATTGAGATTTCAAGCCCTTAATTTAGGCCAAGTGAGTAGGCAGATCACCAATAAAGTAACAATTAAGGCATCATATTATATTAATTTATTATATTAATCTAAACCGATCTCCTATTACCCGAGTCCAACACGCTGCATAAGGGATCAGAACAAATAAATTGTAGATTACCAAAATAAATAGGTGCTTAAATCCATAAAATATTAAACTTATTTGGTAAATTTCCGCTTGTTTCCTGAAATTTTACAAGTGTTTTTTGTTGGTGTTTTAGTGTTTTTGAAAACAACGATCAAGGTAAACACGGGATACGCTAAACCTGTCCTTTTCACACATGGGGGGAGCAACCATAAAAGGAGGAGGGGCAGCGGGAGGTGGAGGTGAGGACACCGACGCCTCTCAACTCGCTGTTTATTGGATGTCTTTGCGTCCGTCGATGCAGCGATCGGTTCGATGAAGTCTGGACGTGTATATTTCGAAGATCGGTGACCGGGAACTCCGAATCCAACCTAGTTTCTGCGAAAAGATTCGATCTCTGTTCGTGTTTTTTCATGGTGGGTGAGCTTTCCGTTGCCGGTCTTATGGGCTTTGTCTGTTAGATTTCTCTGTATCTTTTAGGGTTTGGTTCTACGCGAAGATCCGATGTTTGTCTCAAATCTCGAAGATTCAACTTTTTGTATGAAAGATCTGATTTGTTCTTTTGATATTTGCTTCACATATTATGTTTTAGATCTTTGTATAAGATTCAAAGGTGTGATTTCTTTGTTTTTATGAATCTGATGGAATTTGGATTCTGGAAATTTTTGATAAACTGTTCCAAAACTTTTACAGAATCCATGAAGAAAAATCCTCAAGCGGATGCGTGCCGATGGTAAATTGAGAATAGCGTTCTGTACTGTCTGATGTTTGTGGAAAGTACGGTATATATTCAGTCAAGGAGGAAAGAAGGATTCTTGGTGATTAGTCGAGAAAGAGAGGAAGATTCCTGGTGATTTTTGTTAGAATGGATCAAGGAATGGCCACTGGAAGCGATAATTTGCTCTCGGCCGTGGTGCCCCTGATGAAGCTATTGTGCCTTACTGTCATTGGCCTCATCCTCGCGCACCCTCGAACCCAAATCGTTCCTAGGGCCACATTCAAACTACTTAGCAAGCTTGTCTTCGCCCTCTTCCTTCCCTGCCTCATTTTTGTCCATCTCGGCCAGTCGGTCACCGTTGATGATGTCTTGCTTTGGTGGTTTGTGCCCATCAATGTGCTCATTAGCACCGCAATAGGCTGTGCTCTTGGATACATAGTCGCCATCGTTTGTCACCCCCCGCCTCAATTCTTCCGGTTCACCATTATCATGACCGGTTTTGGCAACACAGGCAATCTCCCAATTGCCATAGTTGGATCGGTCTGCCATAGCTCGGATAATCCGTTTGGCCCAGATTGCCGTCGAGCTGGGATTGCATATGTATCATTTGCTCAATGGGTCGCAGTTATTTTAGTTTACACATTTGTTTATCACATGATGGAACCGCCAATGGAGTACTATGAGATTGTTTCTGAAGAGAATGAGATTGAGGAAGAAGAACCTATCAGTAATGCCAGTAGACCATTGCTCCATGAAGCTGAGTGGCCAGGAATGGTAGACAAAGAGACAACACATTCCAAGACACCATTCATAGCCAGAGTGTTTATGAGCATTTCTGGATCATCTCAAAACACTTTTCCGGATATTGATTTTTCTGAGGAGGGAGGTTCAACTGCTGGGCCTAGTAGTCCAAAGTCCCTTAGGTGCTTTGCAGAACCCAAAGTTGTACAAAGGATGAGAGTTGTTGCAGAACAGACTCCAATACGGCACATCCTTCAGCCTCCAACAATTGCTTCTTTATTGGCGCTTATAGTGGGATTGGTTCCAGTGTTTAAAGCTTTTGTTTTTGGCTATGATGCACCACTTTCGTTCTTCACAGATAGTCTGGAAATCTTAGCCGGAGCAGTGGTTCCCTCGGTAATGTTAATTCTTGGAGGAATGTTGGCAGAAGGTCCTAATGATTCAGCTCTTGGGATCAGAACTACAATTGGAATCGTTGTTACAAGGCTTTTGGTGCTTCCATTAGTGGGGATTGGAGTGGTTGCATTGGCTGATAAGATGCATCTTTTGATTGAAGGAGACCAGATGTACCGCTTTGTTCTCTTATTGCAGTATACCACACCAAGTGCTATATTGTTGGGGGCCATTGCTAGCTTGAGGAATTATGCAGTGAGGGAAGCTTCAGCACTCCTGTTCTGGCAGCACATATGTGCTGTGGTATCTCTCTCATTTTATATTGTTATTTACTTCAAGCTGCTCTCATATGTTTAAGGTTAGGCCCTTCTAGTTGTTTTTATTTTGAGGATGCATGATTAGTCTATGATGGCAACTTAATGAACTCATTGTTATTTTGTCAATTATGGTCCGTAATGAATAAGATTGATTTTTTCATTATCTTGTATAAACAATGTTGGATAATATAAGGATTATCAATTTAGATGTGATCCTTCATCAAAATGTTTCATATTATCTCTTTAGCATCTCTTGCCCTTTATGAAGTTCTCTACATAATTCCAGTTGGCTAGCTTGGTTTAACTTATTACGAACACAGGAAAATATAATTTCTTTTCTTGGTGCCACTGGATTTGGCTTAGCAGGATAAATGTTCTCATTGTTACAAGTCACCCTCTTGTTCTCCGCTTGCAAGTTTGGGTCACGTACTCGTAAGGAACCACCAATACATTGGTTTGTTCTGTTTAAGGAATTATTTGTGGTGTAGAAGTTAATTGTATATTAAACAAGACTCGTTAGGTTCTTAAGTACGCACTTGACATATTAAATATAGGAGCCACCATCTTAGAGAAGCAGTGGACCTATGTATTCTCGAGCAAGACTTACTAGATATAGGCATAATATTTGATGTTTTTTGAAATCGATCTTGTATTTGCATGTTGATGTTAATTATATAGTGCCAGGATCTTAACTCCTATCATTTCATATTTATCTAGGATACTGATTGCAGCCAGCACAATTTTTTCCATTGTTGTAGAAAGCTACATTCTCACCATTGGAGTCATAGATCGGCATAAATGCAAAAAAGAAAAATGTCAATCTCGTGTCATATATGACTGGCTTGTGGTTGTGCCTCTTTGGTTGATGTTTATGTTCATTTAGCTATCATATTTTCCGGTCTTAATTGCCTACTTTAGAAGCGAGGATGTAGAATCAAAAACTTGTAAATGTACCAAAATTTATCCAGAGAAAAATAAGAATCGGCACATTAGTTTCTACTGAAGAATGCAGCTGGTTTTCTGCAGGGGTGAAAAACCAAAGTAGGGGAGGCAGAGAGAGCACAGAAGATTATATTTGAGAAGAGGAGAGAGAAATGATAAGAAGTAGAGAAGGATGAGCATGTATTATCTGTAGCCAAGGACTAGATAATCTTCATTATCATATTTATGAACTGTCACGAGTTTGAACAGAACCTATTCTATATAGAAGCAAGGAGGATAATGGAGGACTGTTAACCCATTTAATGGTCTTTCATGATGCTAATTGCAGTTGGTCAATTTATTCTTGTTTTAAAGACTTGTAAAAGTAAGAAGGAAGAAGTAAGTTATATACTTCCTTTTCCCTGAAGTTTCGAGTCCATTTGGAGCTTTTTCAAATTAGGAAATTAGACAGTTGAAATGATCCGACTCTGGACCAACACCTCTCTCTTCCTGTTAGACTCCTGTCTTCGTGCTAAAAATTTGCCTAGATTATTTCTTTCAGAAGAAACTAGGATGGAAATAGTTCAACAAATACCTTGTGCTTTCTAGATTATGGCCCAAATTTTAGTTTCATCATATATTATAGCTTTTAGTTATTTGAGGTTCACAAGTATTGACTTCTGCCTTATTTAGCTTGGAATAATTACAAGGCGTAGAAGAATTGAAAACCCAGCAATGGTTGTTGAACCGAATTAGCTTGTTATCTAAAACTGTAAGCTTGCCTTTTGAAGGGACTTCAGGTATCTCCTCTGATTACTAGTGCTGTTGAAGATTTCCTTTGGAAAACCTGAGAACTTGTCGACTAAAGAAGAGAATCCATGCCGATGTATGGAATAATGTGATGATATTGCATTGATACATTCTTGAAACAGAAGATAGTGAAGTTTGGACAGAAGACTGAGCTCATTGACTTGATACATTCTTTTATAATTACCGCAAAAACATACAGAAATTGGTGATAATACTGCATTGACATCGAGTTAAAATCAAACTTTTCTATTGATAATAAGATCTCTTCGTAGCTGCCAGAACCATCGCGTATTCTCCCTAATGTGTCTCTGAATTGAAATCTTCAACTTGCTCAGATTGGTCATCATCATAATTGCTATACATTTATGAGATTCTTTTAACCAAAAGTCACTTTGATTTATTTTGGATGGAAAATAATTTAAAAAGAGAGGGCAACCAACCAGAGGGCAGAGCAAGGTCTTCGAGTTGTCAAATACTTTATTCTCTCTCTCTCTCTCTCTCTCTCTCTCTCTCTCTCTCTCTCTCTCTCTCTATCTATATATATATATATATATATATATATATATATATA